AGGCTTTCGAGCCTATACAGCTTGGAGTAAGACAACATGCATGAAGAGGATGATGTGGACAAAATACTCATTTGCCTAATAATTCTGCACTCCCTGTATTAGACTTATTAGTTACTATATACAGTAATGGATTTCTATACATTTAATCAGATGACCACTTTTGTTGTAAGATTCAGACAATTATTTATTCAAAGTTTTTAAATGACAAAACACAAACGAAAATATTTCTTTGTGCCCCCCTCTCCCTGTTAATGCCCAACCTGGCCCCTGACAAAACTTTGCTAGACCCGTCCCTGCACAGTTACCAGCCGTCAGCTATGTAGAAAAGGATCCTGGTGTTATTTGTCTCTCAGAAACAGTTCTTAACTTCCCTTTAACTCATTTATATCACCTAAAAGGTGAACCTGTTTCTACATCACCTGTTCAGCACTGATGATTCAGTAAGGACATCTCCTGGTTTCATCTTCATGTTTCCCTCTCACCAGATAACCAAACCGACATAATGACCAGCAGCTTTTACAGCTGTGGCTCCAGCAAACACCAGCTGAAAATAGAAAGTATTATTAAATAAACTCTTAAGAACAGCTGATCACACTTAAACGTGCTGCTGTTGTTTAGCCGCTGGTTTCCTCTTTCTGGGGCAAAGTGAGCGATAAACAAACAAGAAAGACGGGACTTTCGGCAGAAAAGCCGATCAGCTGATCATTAATCAGTTTCACGTTTGAAATAATAAAATAATAACAGGAGAGGGCGGGGGAGTGAATGAGAGAAGTAGATGCAACTGCGCAGCAAAGACAGAATAACTCCAGCTTTGTGTCTATTTTTTAATTTTAGCTGATGTACGGGACAAATCGCTTCCTTTTCAGCTCAATATGGAACTCCGATGGCCAGTCCAGCTGTGGCTCAATATATCAGTTGTTAAGCTTAACGTGGAAATACTTGGAAAACATTCAGGGATGAACTTACACACTTGCTTTACTTTTCTGGGATAGTTTTCGCCAAGATGAAATGGACAGGTCTGGCAGACCAGCTGCTCTATCACGTGACACATACCGCTCCAATGCGCCGAGCTGGGTTACGCCAAGTAGCGCGTTTTGTGAGGTGATTTTGTGATACTTCGGATCGGATTACATTTT